AGGCGGCAGCAGCTCCAAGGCAGGCAGCCACCATCTCAGTCCCCCTGCCAGGAGGTGTCAGATGGGCCACCCCAGGCTCAATCCGGTACTGCAGCCCATCCCGGAGGGCCTGGGGACGAGTTCCTGGGGTCCCACTCGCGCCACCAGGACAGGAGAGCAGATGGCCCGGCCACCTCAAGCCAGCTCAGGCCAAGGACAGGAAGTGGTTAAAATAGGACCAGTCGGCACCCCCAGGCCCTCCACACTCGTCCCAACTGCCCCCCACGCCACCCTGCTCACCACGGACCCGCTGCGTGTCTGTCTTTATTGGCTCTAGGAAACTCAAGGGGCTGAAGAACCCTGACACAAGCAGGACCACCCACAGTCAGCCACTCAGCCAGGGGCGGCCGGGCTTCTGGAGGCAATCTCAGGCTCAGCCCACTCAGCCTCGGCACCTGCCTGCAGAGGGAGAGGGAGCGGTCTCTGTTCTCTGCGGGGCACCCCCACACCCAGGATCACTAGCTGGGAAGCGGCCAGCCCAGAGCCTGCCCTGGGAGGCCTCCTCACCTTGGGCTCACGCAGTTTCCGGATGTGGCGCAGGGAGGAGGTGGCGTTGACTGCTCGCTGTGCGAAAAGAGGGGATCAGGCCATGGCCAGAACCTAGTCCTAAGACTGCAAGGACCACAGGGGCCCCTGGGCAGCTGTGGCTGTCACCCCAAAGGTGGGGCTCCCCATGCTGACCTTCCAGCGGGGCGAGGCTGGAAGATTCAGAATCCTGAATTTAGGGTGTCCTTGGCACAGGCTGCCTCCCAAGATGCTGGCGGCTGCTGAGGTCAGTGGGGAGAGGCACTGAGGTGTGTCCCTGGGCCCCTGCAACAGCTGGGCACGGCCCGCTCACCACAGATACTGTAACACCTGTTGGCCATCAACCTCTTTGGAGACCTCGCTCCAGAAGGTATGGATAAAGTTCGTGGCTGGGGCAGGAGGCTGGGTCACCTTCCCCCATTGCCCCCACAAGGTCTACCCCAGCCCAGCCAGCCCCAAGCTCACCTGATTCAGAGATGTCTTCCCGGAGGAGAGAGTCCAACTTGGAGCAGGCCCTCAGTGTCTGGCCAAAGAGCTCAGCGTCGCTCTTGTCCTAGAAAGGGGTACCCACACAACCTAGCACCCACAGATGAATCAACACCCAGCCGCCCAGCCCTCCCCAACCCTGCAGGATGTAGGAGATGACCCCCAGGCCCACAGGGCCAGGGCCTTCCCAAAGGGCTTCTGCTGCAAGAGCTCTGGCGCCGGGGCAGAGGCACACAGGTGCAGGCCACGTGCACGCGCATGCCCAGGGCACACAAGCCCGGCCACTCAGGGCCACCAGCTGAGCCCACTGGACCCAGGAGCTGCCCACTGGAGGCCTTTCCCGGGCCCATCACACAGGCTCACAGTGCCAGCCTGGATTTTGGAGAGGCCGAAGTCGGAGACCATGCTCTCAGAGTCCTCACAGGGTGTGGTATAGAGTGGGCTTTCAGGCTGGATACACAGGGGCCAGGGGAAGGCCAGGTCGGTCGTGGCCTGGCCCAGGCTGGGGCAGGGCGGGCCTTAAAGGCTCGGTACCCTTAAGTCCCAGCCCTCCGAGGACAGCGATGGTGTAGGCCTGGCCATGCTCCCGGGGAAACACACACGGGGCCGGCTAGGCAGGTGAAGGGCAGGGCTGGGACCCATCAGGTCCCTTGAGATCCTGGTGCACCATGCCCGGGCTGTGCAGGTGGGCGGCAGCGCCAAGGACCTGCCCCACCAGGTGGCTGGCATCCTCCATGTAGGAGCCATGCTCCATGATGTGGCCCAGCAACTCGCCGCCCACCAGCCTGGGGCCAGCCCCACCAGCAGCCCCCACAGCCTGCCTGGGCCTGCTCACAGCTCCAAGGCCAGGAGGGTGGGAGGGGCTCTCGTGTCGGGGTGGCTGACTGCAACAGCAAGAGAAAACCCTGTGCACAGCCCTCCCCCTCCCCTGCCCCTCACTCCCCACCCCTGACCCTAGGCCGGCGCCTAGCCCAGGCCTTCCTCAAGGCATACTTGAAGAGCCCAGGGCAACGCTGACCCTGCAATCCTGCTAATAGGGAGATGCAGGCCTGGGGGGAGGAACAGCCCAGGACCTCCCCACCGAGTGCTGGCCAGGCCCCACTTCCTAGTCCCTGTCTGGGGCAGGTGTGCACCTTGCTCTCCACCAGGGCCTCCTCGCCCCGAGGGCCTTTGGAGAATGCGCTTGAGGGTGGCAAGATTTGTGGAGCCCATCTCCTGGGCCAGAACCACCTGGGAAAAGGCACCCCTGAGGCCCAGTGCGAGGGAGAGAGGGCATGGGAGGAGGGCGAGGGAGCAGAGCCCACACTCAATCACACACACACTCAGTTACACTCACGACACATCCACACACACCCCACACACAGAGTCACACGCCCTCACAGTCATCTACCCTCCCGCTCACACACGCAGTCATGCACTCCCACAAGTCCACACCTCCCTCCCACACGCACCCACAGTCACACACACACTAGCCAGCTTCTCCCGCATCTCATCGCTGCTGAAGCTGTCTGCTTCTTTGGCGGTATGTCTGTCTGGGAGGAGTCCCAGGGGAGGGGAAGCTGCCTGGGCCACCTTCGTCCCTCCCAGTCCCCCACTCAGGAACACCGTTCCATGTGGTCTCTCTGCCACGGCCCAGGTCCACGCCTCCCTGACCCTGCACACTGCTGCCACCCATGCTCCCTACCCCGGCGCCCCCCACCCTGGTGCAAACAGCAACCAGTGCCTGGACGCCCCCTTTCTGGGGGCACGAATCCCAGGCAGCTCCGTGCATCCCACCCAGGTCCATCTGAGCCCGGTCCTGTGGGGCCACAGCACCCAGGCCCGTCTCCCCCAACCCCACCCTGTCTGCCTAGATCCACTACCCATGGCACAGTGCCTGCAGGCAGCACCAGCCAGACCACCCCGAGATGCACCTGTGACCCCACACAGTGCCCCAGCACCAGCTAGTCCGCCTCCAGGGACCTCAGAGCTGTGGGTGCAACCGCGGCCTGGGCCGCCCTATTCAGAGCTACATGGGCCACGCCTGTGGGTCTGGGTGCCAGGCATGCGGGGGTGCGCAGGAAGCCGCAGGTGCAGTCCAGGAGCCCACAGCCCACA